ACTTTCCTAGCTATTTCTGCCACGAACACGCAACGGTCTAGATTTCTGTCTTGTTTCTCTTTTAGTGTTTCTCACTCCTGGTGAGTTTCCACTTTTTTGAAATCTTCCACCGTCGCTGTTTCCAAGGAGATCGCGGGGTTTTCTTATACCCCCGCGGATCCTCTTTGCCTCCGTCGCGATTCCCTCTCGGGATCGCCCCCACCGCACTGTTCACTGCCACGCCGCTTAGGCGTCTCTGCCCCACTGTCACCGTCCGCGAGCGCGAGCTCACCTCTACCGTATGCAGGCCACGTCACCGAGCACAGCCACCCTCCCCAAAGTTTCGCCATCTCCCCCAAACGCAAAGCTGTCGCGCCTACCGTCCGTCCCAACGCCTCTTCTCACCTGCAACGCTGCGCGGTCTGCACCGACACCCCCGACGACCACACCAGCCACCAACACGCTCTCAAGCGCATCGTCTGCCCTGACGACACCGCCCAAGTCGCAAACCCCCGCACCTGCCCCCGAATCACCGGTCACCGCTCCCTCTCCTCTCCTTGTCCCGTCTCCGGCTGCTCCCTGCGCTCGCCAGCCCTACCTCTCCTCTGATTCCGATTCTTCCCCGCTCCGCCCCTCCCGCACTATGTCTACCTCTACAGCCGCTACTGTCACCCAGAAGGACGGCAAGGTCCCCTACCTCTCATCGGGCGACCTGACACCCATCACCCTCGATGACTTCTTTACCGCCTGCCGTCACTACTTCCGTAACAAACATATTGAGGCCGACGATCAGGTTTCCGCTATCCTTGGAGGTTTCGAAGACCAACGGGTAAAGAACTGGCTGCGTCCCAAGGCGGAGAACGAGCGCGTCCTCACCCTGACGTTCGACGAGTTCATCGCCGAAGTCCGCACCCGCTTCCTGCCCGACGATTGGGAAATGAAGGAACGCCTGGCCATCCAACATGCGAAGATGAAGCCCGACGAGTCCTTCCTTGACTTCGCCACCACCGTTGAATCTCACGCTGCTCTCCTCCTCGACACCGACTCCGAATACGACAACACCCGCCTCCGTCACGCCCTTGAAGCGGGCATGCACTCCACCCTCGCCCGCCTCTACGAACAACCGCGCAATGTACACATCCGCAATCTCAACCCCGACGTGCAATACGATCAATGGAAGAAGGACGTCGAGAAGATCGATGTCGACAGGCGTTTTGACCTCGCTGTCGCCCGCGACGCGGCACGCGACGCCGCCGAGGCCGTTCGCCAGGAGCACGCCCGCGCGGAAAACAAGCGCAAGGCTGCTGCCGCTGCCGACGACGATCGCCGCCCGAAGAAAGCGGCCGGCGACCTTCTTCCCCACACGCCTGCCCCGCTTTTCTGATCCCTAAGGCTGATAAAACCGTACTGCCCCGCTGGGCCACACCGCTGTACTTGAACGTCTGACCACGAAAGAATGTGAAAAGCAATTTCCCCCATGGACAGAGGAACACCAGAAGGCTTTTGACGCTATCAAGCAACTTGTTGTCAGCGCTGAGTGCCTTACCACTATCGACCATGACAACCCGGGAGAAAATCAAATTTTTGTCACCGCCGATGCCTCTGATAAACGCTCGGGCGGGATGCTCTCATATGGGCCCACCTGGGAAACTGCACGCCCCGTCGCCTTTGATTCCATGACCTTCAAATCTGCCGAACTTAACTATCCGATACATGAAAAGGAAATGCTCGCTATCATCCGCTGCCTCCGTAAATGGAGAGTCGATCTCATCGGCTCACACTTCACAGTCTACACAGACCACCGCACCTTAGAAAACTTTGACACCCAGAGGGACCTCTCTCGCCGACAAGCCCGCTGGATGGAATTCCTCTCCCAATACGATTGCAAAATTGTATATGTTAAGGGAGATGATAACTCCGTGGCCGATGCATTGTCTCGCACGGATTTCGACGATAGCAATTCTGCAGAATCTGCCGCAACCGAACCCTGGGCCTTTGGCGCCGACGGTGTTCCCCCCATTGCGGCCGTACTGCAATCGGATACCTCCTCCCTATTCCATTCCATGCAATGCCTGGCACGAACCAGAATCAGAGACACGGACCACACCTTTCCCGCCGCTCCCGTTGCCGCGGTTCTCTCAATCACAACCGACGGCGAAATTCTGGACAAAATTCGAGACGGTTACACTACAGACCCTTGGTGCCAAAAGTTAGCCTCAGCCAGTCAAGGGATGCCCGGTCTCACTCTCCGCGAACCTGAACGCCTTTGGTACATCGGTGACCGCCTCATCATCCCCTGCGCTGGCGACCTCCGTGAATCTCTGTTCCACTTAGCCCACGACAATCTCGGTCATTTTGGCTTTGACAAATCGTATAAATCGCTCCGAGACACCTACTACTGGCCAAACATGCGCCGTGACCTCGAGCAGGCGTACATCCCCTCATGCCCCGAATGCCAACGTAATAAGTCCCGAACGGTCAAGAAGGCTGGCCCCCTTCACCCCCTACCCATACCTGATCAGCGCGGCGACTCGGTGGCCATTGATTTCATAGGCCCTCTCCCGCTCGACCAGGGTTTTAATTGCATCGTTACCTTTACCGATCGCCTCGGCGCCGACATCCAAATCATCCCCACCCGCACCGACATCTCTGCCCCCGACCTGGCCTTGCTCTTTTTCAATCATTGGTATTGCGAGAATGGACTGCCCTTGGATGTTGTCTCTGACCGCGATAAACTCTTCGTCTCTGCTTTCTGGAAGGCCTTGAACAAGCTCTCGGGTGTAAAGCTTAAAATGTCGACGGCCTGGCACCCTGAAACTGACGGCGCTAGCGAACGTACCAATAAAACGGTCAACCAGGCAGTCCGCTACCATGTCGCTCGCAACCAACGCGGCTGGGTCCGCGCTCTCCCGCGTGTCCGTTTCGACATGATGAACACGGTTAATGCTTCTACTGGCTTCTCTGGTTTCCAGCTCCATATGGGCCGCTCTCCTCGTATTATTCCCCCTCTCATCGCTGCCCCTGCTCGAGACGCCCCCGACGAGGAGAAACTTGCAGCCAAATTTATCGAACGAATGCATCTGGACGTCATTGAAGCACAAGAAAACCTTTTGACAGCAAAAATTTGCCAAGCGGAACAAGCAAATCGCAAACGACGCCCCGATCACGATCTGAAGGTTGGCGATCGCGTCAAGCTTTCGACAGCCCACCGCCGTGCTGCTTATCTCAAGAAAGGCGACAAGCGCGTAGCCAAGTATATGCCACGCCACGACGGTCCCTACAAGATTATTGCCAAGCATGCTGAGTGCTCTACCTTCATGCTGGATCTTCCCAACCAGCCCGAAATTTTCAACGTTTTTCATTCTTCTGAACTAGAGCCCTACATTGAAAATGATGCCGACCTATTCCCTTCAAGAACACTCGCTGAACCTGCTCCAATCATCACGACCGATGGCGAACAAGAATGGAAGGTCGACTCTATAATTGACGAACGCCCTCGCGGCCGCGGGAAGCAGTATCTCGTTCGCTACACTGGCTACGGTCCCGATCATGAACGTTGGCTCCCTGGCCGCGAATGCGCCGAGCTCGAAGCCCTCGATCGATGGCTCGCACGCGACACGAACTAGTTTGGGGGAAGGACGATGGATGGGAATTTTTTTTTTTCTAATGTTCTGGCGTCCGGTGCTTCTCCTCACGTCGAGTCTGCGGCATCGCGACGACTTCTACGTATGTTACCTATTTTTTCCTCTCTCTGGTTGATAACGCGGGGTTTGGACTATTTTTGATGGACGGGGAGGGTGTAAACATGCTGCTTACATTACATACTCACACGCTCCCACTCACGTGCCTCTGTGCTCTTGATCCCATACCACAACCACCTACTCGTATACTTTCCTAGCTATTTCTGCCACGAACACGCAACGGTCTAGATTTCTGTCTTGTTTCTCTTTTAGTGTTTCTCACTCCTGGTGAGTTTCCAATTCTACCGACTTGCAGTCTTGAAGCTTGAAGGATGTACAGGTATATCCAGTTCATTGGAAGGGTAAAGAACCCTGGTTGATTAATGGAAATCACCCATACACCTTCAATGATTTCGGTGCTGGTTAAGCAGATTAATGTGGGAGAGAGAGGTTGCGGTCCTGGTTCGAAACCTCCCTGGGGAATAGCAAGTCGAAAGATTCTTTTTTTCACAGTTTGATTTAATTCACCTTCGAGATACTACTGCTGCTGCGCGTATCTGTCCGTATGTAATACGGAATTGACCAGTCCTTGAATTTTGGTGATTTCAATGAACCTCAGCAGGGGGACCGTTGTAGCAACCTGCGCGGTGTCAATTGGATTTATGTCAAACTTTTCTTTTCGGGTTTTGCAAAAATGTGCCACTGGTATATCCAGGTTCGTTGGAAGGGCATAAAGCCCTCGTTGATTAATGGCAAATCACCCAAACCCATTAAGCGATGTTGCGATGCGGATTGATGTGGGCGACGGAGGTTCGAATCCTCCCTGGGGCATTGTGTGCATGAGTAGGATTTTTTTTTCCGATTTGGTTTAGATTCGGGATATTTATGTGCTCATATACTTGAACCGATAGGTTCCTAGTGAATTTATTATTGTCGCTCTTGTTTTCGCTTGCAGTCTGCGGATGTAAAGGTGGGTAAGCTTGAAAAAATGTGCTGGTATGTCCAAGTCCATTTGAGAAAGTATAAAGCCCTGGTTGATTAATGGAAATCACCCACACCCCTTGAACGCGATTGCTGGAGCGAATTGAGGTGGGAGACAGGGGTTTCGAATCCAGGCATGAAGGAATAGAAAATAGTTCCCTTTTTTAAAACATGGAGATTCAAAGAAACTGCATCTTGGACAGATCCTTGCGGTGTTCAAATATTTTTATACTCTGCAAAGAAGTCTTGCGCTCCCCGAAGGCTATTTACTGTTGCTCATACTGTTGATCGAGGAAATTCATGCAGTGGAATAGGTTGGAAGATGTGCAGGTATATCCAGGTTCATTTGAAGGGTATAAAGCCCTGGTTGATTAATGGAAATCACCCACATCCCATGCGGTTTGATCCAGGGGATTGATGCGGGAGACGGAGGTTCGAATCCTCCCCAGGGCATGATAAAGTATGGTCAATTTTTTTTTTTTTGTTTGAAGTAGGTTCGAGATACCAGTACTGCTCTGCTTTCATCTGGAGGAGGAGGAGGAGGAGGAGGATGTATTACTGGGTATGCTATGTAAACAGATCCGCGCCGATTTACTGTCGCGTTCAGGCACTTGTACATGCCGTGGATTGAAGGAATTCATTCTGTGGAACGGGTTGGAAAATGTGCTGGTATATCCAGGTTCGTTGGAAGGGTATAAAGCCCTGGTTGATTAATGGTAAATCACCCACATCCCTTAAGACCTGACAACTAGGACGGATTGATGTGGGAGATGGAGGTTTGAATCCCCCTCAGGGCATGCGTCACTCAATCTCTCTTTTTACAAAGCTTGATTGATTCTACTGCATGTATGTATATAGCTGCATTATGCTTTAGGCAGACGAAATTCTTGTTGAAGTTCGTCCCTTTCAGAAAGCCCTTTGACTATGCGATGCAGTAGCAACCTGCTCGCTTCCAGTCTGCGAATGTAAATCCCGTCTTTCGAATGCCCAAAAAATGTGCAGGTATATCCAGTTCTATTTGAGGGGTATGAAGCCCTGGTTGATTAATGGAAATCACCTACAGAGCATAGGGGTGTTAGTTGAGTATTATTATGAGTACTTATGTTATGAGTACTTATGTAATAGGGATCGTCCCTTTCAAAACTCGAGAGCACCAAAATTTGATCAGTTTTTCATTAGAGACCGATTTCGTTGAGGGACTAATTAATGGCAGTGCTTGATATTTTTAGTGGCAGTGCCTAAAAATGCTTCAAAATTTTCTAATGAAATTAGTGGCTGGGCATTGTACTTGTTATTGTTACTCGGGGAAAAAAACCCCCTACTCGGTGAAAAATCATAACTTGTATAAACATGGACAAAGAACTTTTTTGTTCCTCTTCGGATTGTTCCATCGGCGATCACCGAACCCAACTTACATATGCCCCACTTCACCTACTCACACCCAGGACAGAGTTCTTTCGACCTAGGTAAAATGGTGGGGAAAAAGTTTACATTTTTACAAGCCTTTTCAAATGTATCAAAAGATTTAGTTTTATTTTAAATGAAAAGGTATAAAAATAGGGCAACTTTTCACGACACTTTCAGCAACTAAGAAATTATTTACTTTTGTTATGGACAAAAGGCCTGCTGAAAAGTGTCCTTTCAGCAAGCCTTTAACAAAAGAAGAAAGGCTATCTTTCAAAAAATTTAAGGGTGTAATTTTTTTGACAGGTAGCCTTTCTTCCTTTGTCAAAAGGCCTGCTGAAAGGACACTTTTCAGCAGGCCTTTTGTCCATAACAAAAGTAAATAATTTCTTAGTTGCTGAAAGCGTCGCGAAAAGTTGCCCTATTTTTATACCTTTTCATTTAAAATAAAACTAAATCTTTTGATACATTTGAAAAGGCTTGTAAAAATGTAAACTTTTTCCCCACCATTTTACCTAGGTCGAAAGAACTCTGTCCTGGGTGTGACTATCTTAGACCCCGAAGTGATAATGACTTTTGATGACTCTATTTTCGTTCTGCACTGGTTAAACATTTCAAGTTTTTCATGAAAAAAATTGGTGAAAGACTTGATTTATTTTTCACCTATTTTTACAGTGAAAAAAGGGGTGAAAAATGTAAAACATATTTACCTCTTTCTGACTTGAACCAACAGTAAGGTGAAAAATGTAAAATATCTTTCACATTATTCACCTGCTTTTTCAGTGAAAAAATAGGTGAAAAAAAATTCAAGTCTTTCGCTAAATTTTCCACTGAAAAATTTGAAATGTTCAACCAGTGCTGTCCGCTGGGCCGTTACCTCTCGGTATTTGTTCATAGGTTCTTAGACATATGAAAAGTAGTATTCCTGAGTGCCATAATTTTTGGATGCTTTTCGACGAAGTTATGAGGTCCCCGAGGATCAGACCTAGAAGTCATAACGCTTTTTGGCGGTGTTTTGATCGCATCAAAAATACAGGTTTTCATTTTTTTCTGTCCGCCTAGTGGGCTCCAAGACTCAAAGAAGTTTACCAGACCTTCGAGAATACATCCTTGTATGTCATTTTTTTTTCTCAGAACATAGGAGTAAGAATTACGGCGAGCATCAATAAATTATCACTTCTAGTCACATTGTCACATCTGGGCCTATTATAGTACTATCGCGATCAGGTAAGCTCCTTTTCAACGTTGTATACCTATATATATATATAATATATCATACCCATTAGCTGATCATATCCGCTGCCGTATATACTGCCTGTGGAAGTAGAACCACTGCTGCTTGCCCTTCGATGTAATTGACCGCAATAAAAATGCTTCGGTTTGTTCCACCGGCGATCACTGAAAACACTTTGTTGGAATTCGGTAGTGCTGTTCCCCGCCGCTGTAGATTTATCTTGATTTGTTTTCCTCTCTGCCCTTCATTATCATGAACCGTTCCTAGCCTAAACTACGACCGCTGGATAATATACGGCTTGTGGATGCTAGGGCTATTAAGGGGATCAGCGGAGTCCGAATTTGCACACCGCCACAGGTGCGCCCTAAGTCTCTTATAATTGCTGGTGTCTCGCTGATACATACGTGCCACTTTCAGCCAGTGCCTCCTGCCAGCACGATGCTGATCATGTCGCCCGTGGCCAGCTTCGAAGACGCTGGCCCCAACGCCTCGCTGACGTTCCCTAGACCATCAGCAGCAGCAGCGCCGCCACGACACACAGCATCTCGCTCGGCTTCGGCGTGCATCGTCCGCACGCCACGCTGCCGGGCCCATCCGTGCATGCACCCACCCTGTCGCCGTGCCGCTTCCGCCCCCCTCACACGTTCATGCGTACCCTGCGCTTGTGGCCGTCTAGCCCGGGCCCATGCACATCGCGGCGGGAGCGCGGAGAGCCGGCACAGGTGTTTCCTCCAGCGGCTCTACTTCTGCGTGCACCTTGCTACTCACTTCACGTGGTCGCCTTCATTCTCGGTGCGTTATCTGTCCGAGTCCTATAGCTCTTTTTATGATTGTTCACCACACTGTTATGCTGCGGACTCTGCATCCTCCTGCGCATGGCCTTTATTATTTGTCGTCTCGCCGCGCCATCTGTACACGCAATAACACCACCTCTGAAGACCGCTACTACGTCGGGGTGCTTAACAAGGACGAATCCTTCGAAACAGAGGTGATGCTCGTCGCGCCCCCGCTCGATACGTACCCCCTCGAGAAGAGCGAGGCGGTTGTCGTGGAGCCCAACTCGGATGAGAATGACGGTAACACGGATATGTAGTACGGCCAACGAGGCACGCACACATCGCAGCTACTCACTGTTCCACGATACTATTAGATCCTCTTCTTCGAAACCCAATTCAGACCGCGATGATCGATTGAAAGAGCCCCCGGCCGAAAATACAGAGAACCCCACAGCCGCACAATACTTACAAACCATTCATTCATTTTAGAAATCCCGTTGATGTTTTGCTAGACACCTTTGCGAGAAAATGTGCTTGTCTTGTTTGCATATATACGACCTATGGGACACCAGTTGTGCTGTCCCCGAAAAGTCTTTCATGACTGCCTTGTAAACTTTTGGAAACCCAATCTCCTCTGTAGACGCTTTCCCGATCTGAACGATAATGTTACCCTTGTCTACGCAGCTGCTTCCTAACTCACCTCCACCCTAGATGCTGGCCCGATGCAGAACACGTTCTTCAAATTAATTTGCTCTTTTGCCATGTAGTCGGCGAGCCTATCAATCGATTCTCTGTAGCAAGCGTGTTAGTAGACGGCCAGAAGTGTCCTGCAGACCCCAGCTCACTAGCGGCTTCGAGGCTGTCATACGGGTTCATGTTGAATGATGTTGTCTCTGTCTGTCCGTCTCAGCTTTTATATACCACAGACGCCTCTGGATTTTTTTGTTAGTTCATTTGTCTTAATTGATTATATTTATGAGTGATTAATAAATACTGTTTACACTCATAAGTACTCGTTTCTGCCGGGCGTAGCAACGGCCCTTTACCCCAAGTTAATGTGGGAGATGGAGGTTCGAATCCTGCCTAGGGCATATCTAAATGGGGGTTTTTTTTTTGGTTTGATGTAGGTTCGAGATACAGTGCTGCTTTCATCTGAAGAAGCCGGCACCGGTACCCTTAAATTTTAGGGAATTCATGCAGTGGAACAGCCTTCTGGCAGTTGAAAAACAGCTGCTGGTGTATACAGGCTGCTTGGAAGGGTATGAAGCCCTGGTTGATAAATGGTAAATCATCCACAACACATCCATTCTTGGCTCGTTGCATTGACGCGGGAGACGGAGGTCTCAGGGCATTTGTCATGAAACAAGTTCACGACGACCCCTATTTTCTTTTTCAATTGCAGGATATATTTTGGTAACCCCAACATATATCAACAGACGATCATAACGACGACAACGGGCGAAGAGGACATAAAGGAGGAGGGTATTTGTCTTGAAACAGACAGGAACGATCGGTTTCCAGATGAACTGATCGTAAGACAAGTTGTATAAAAACCAGTAGATAGAATCATGTACGGTAGATTCTATCTCATCTAAACTCCGGTTTTGCTTTGGCTATAAGTGCTACTTGAAGACTTGACACTTGATTCTCATCCATTGCGGGGTTCACGTTACCTATACCCCACATTCACTATCCCGCATTTTGACCACTTCCTGCCATGTAGTGGTGAACCACCACTAGTCTACATCTGCACTGTGGGATAGGCGGGTTTCACTCGCATATACTCATACGGTGGTTCACTCAGTCCTGGCAGGCGATAATCACGACCGACTTAAAAGCCGACCCAAAGGCCATTGCTGACAGCATTCCATGTAACTGCTCATTTCTTTTGGTTTTTTAAAAAATGATTGAGATTCAAAGACCTGTTGCACGTCTGTATTATGCGCTTTGGGACAGATAACAATCTTATTGAATTTCGTTATTGCTTTCAGCGAACCTTACTGAACAGGCGGACATTTGAAGGTTCATTTCGGGCTTTGAAAATGTGCAGGTGTATCTAAGCCCATTTGAATGGGTAGCAAGCCCTGGTTGATTAATGGCAAATCACCACCGCCCTTGTGCATAAGAGTTGAGCCAATTGATGTGGGAGACGGAGGTTCGAATCCTCCCCAGGGCATGGCCAAACCGCACTTTTTTTTTTTACAAAGTCCCATCGGTATTCACAATCCGGCCTCACATCTCTGTCTGTATTATGCACTTCGACAATCCTTGAATTGAAAACCCAGGTGGACCGTTGTAGCAAAATTCAGGATTATTTAATTCCGCTGAATGTAGCAAATCTGTTGCAGGCTCCCTTGCAGGTATATCCCAGCCCCTTGGAAGGGTATAAAGCCCTGGTTGATTAATGGAAATCACCCACACCTCTTACGCAATGTTGATGCATTGATATGGGAGACGGAGGTTCGAATCCTCCCCGGGGCATGGGAAGAGGTAGAGGTCTTACTTTTTCTAAACCTTCGAATTGAATTCAAAGGAGTTGTAGCATGAGCAGGACTTCGGTAATACATCCTCCCGAAATAATTCTCGAATTTTAATACACAGGAGAAATTTATTCAGAGGAACAGCCTTCTGGCAATTGAAAACAGGTGCCAGTGTATACAGGCTCCTTGGAATGGTATAAAGCCCTGGTTGATTAATGGAAATCACCCACACCTTCAACGATTTCGGTGCTGGTTAAGCAGATTGATGTGGGAAAGGGAGGTTCGAATCCTCCCCGGGGCATAGCGACTCGAAATACTTTTTTTTTCACAGTTTGATAAATCGGATTCGCTCGAGATACCGCTGCACGCCGTATCCATCTGTTTATGCACTTGGACAGTCCTTGGATTTCTTCATTGTTTCAAAAAACCTTACTAGGCAGCCTCAACCTTATTTAGAAAATCAGGATTCTACCGACTTGCAGCATTGAAGCTTGAAGGATGTACAGGTCTATCCAGGTTCGTTGGGAGGGTATAAAGCCCTGGTTGATTAATGGCAAATCACCCACACCCCTTAAGGGAAGATGCTAGGACGGGCTGATGTGGGCGACAGAGGTTCGAATCCTTCCAAGGGCATGCGCTTCAGTTGAATAATCTTTTGCTGATCAGGTGGACCCTTGTAGCAAAATTCAGGATTATTTAATTCCATTGGATGTAGCAAATCTGCTGCAGGCTCCCTTGCAGGTATATCCAGGTTTGTTAGAATAGTATAAAGCCCTGGTTGATTAATGGTAAATCACTCACACCTCTTTGAAACTGAACATCGAGAGCTTGATGTGGGAGACGGAGGTTCGAATCCTCCCTGGGGCATATCAGATATCTCTCTTTTTTCTTTCTTTTTGGCCGGTGGGTTTATTCAGATTCGAGATACTGACTGCTTATACTGCGCCTCTTCAGAAATGTGCTTGGCACTGTTTGAGAACCAAAAAAAGGCCGGCCCTGGGCACCTACCCTACCCAAATATAGCAACCGGTAAGATGGACTGATCGCATCACTTGTCTGCATGCGGTTGGTATGGAAAACGCTCTGGGGGCTTACCCGCCGGTAATACCTCCCCATATCTATCTATACCAACTTGTAATTCTTGCGCATTCCTTGAGCACTCTCGGCAATCCCCGGAGTCCCAATCGGGATACTTGTTCCGTCCATCACTGAGCATCAACTCATCACCCCGGCACTTCGGGCCATGTCGCCTCTCGCGTGCGATGTTGCCGCTGTTTCCCACGCCTCCTCAATCTGTCGGGACCGTTGGCAGCGGCTTTCCGCCATGCAACCCGCCTTCCGCTGTCACCATTCCATCATTTCAAGTCAGTTTAGCCATCAATTCATCACCCCGGCACCCTTGGGCCATGTCGCCTCTCGCGTGCGATGTTGCCGCTGTTTCCCACGCCTCCTCCATTGGCGGCGGCTTTCCACCATGCAACCCGCCTTCCGCCATCGCCATTCCATCATTTCAAGTCAATTTAGCCATCAATTCATCACCCCGGCACCCTCGGGCCATGCCGCCTCTCGCGTGTGATGCTGCCGGTGTCTCCCACGCCTCCTTGATGTGTCGGGACCGTTGGCGGCGGCATTCCGCCATGCAACCCGCCTTCCGCCATCGCCATTCCATCAATTTAGCGCTTAGTCACAAATCTATCAGCCCAAGAAATACCTGTTTTATTCAAAAAAAATCTAAGTATAGTATAAATGACGGTAGGACGACTACACCGGTGCCGCAGAGACAGTCAGCACGATGGGAACGGAGGAGGAAGTCCCGGGAAAATGAGCATTGCCCGGAGTGCCTGCAGAGAGCGCTTAGTCACAAATCTATGAGCCCAAGAAATACGTGTTTTATTCAAAAAAAATCTAAGTATAGTATAAATGACGGTAGGACGACTACACCGGTGCCGCAGAGACAGTCGGCACGATGGGAACGGAGGAGGAAGTCCCGGGCAAATGAGCATTGCCCGGAGCGCCTGCAGAGTCATCATCCTCAGTGTCAGAAATGATCGGCCGGCTTTTGGCAGCCTTGCGCGCGGTCACCAACTTGTCCAGCACGGCCTTTGTAGTCGCATCGTCACGCCCACGCTTCGCAGGGGCCCTACCATTGATAACAGCCCGCTTGGCGGCGGGTTTCAGCCCCGAGGTGCCGGATGTAGCCATATTTGTCTTGCGCATACGTTTCTTCGGGGGCGGGGCATTCGGGGCGCGCTCCGATGGGTTGTTGTCGTCGGCAGTGTCGTTTTCGTCGGTGTGGGAGCTGTTTTCCTTGTCCCCATTGCTGCACGCGCGCTTGCGAGGAACGCCGGTGTCGCTGCGCTGTGCACGGCTCTTGGCAATTGTACGGCCAGCGGCAACCTCGGCCTCCCACGCAGTCTTGCGTGCCTGCGCCTCAGCCGGTAAAAGCCTCCGAAAGGTGCAGGTGCCATCCTTGAGTGCGTCGACGAGGGCACGGAGCGCAAGCAGTGAAGTGCTTAGCTCACTTGGGTTCACGAAGCGGCCCTTCCATCCCTCGAGGACGACATTGTACTTCTGCACAACATCTTCCTCGTGCCACATATAGGCCATGGTAGCGTTAGGAACTTTTGATACTTCGACTACACAATATTATGAGCATTGTACACATTGATGAATATGTGCCGCAACGTACCAAGGTTCTTTGACACAAGCTCTCGTATCTCGGCCTTCATCCAATCAGCCTTCTGCTTAGACGTCCGCAAGAGGTCTATTTTTAAGTCAGTAAATGCGAAACTGAAGAAGAAAAAGGCCACGCGCTGACAGGGTCACATCCCGCAACCGCAAATGCCTCCAGCTCAATCCCTACCTCCCCTGTATCCCATTTACGGCGTGTTGCGATTGCCATGTAGGCCTCAAGCTCCGGGCTTGTGAAATACCACTCGGGGGCCATGTGAAACTCGGCACTGTTGCGAACGACGCAAAAGAATCCTTCAATGCCCACACGATTCCCAAGGGCAGCCATCTGAAAGCATTCTGAGTATTTCGATGGACAGGTGATATACTAACCCGTACCAGCATCTTCATATTCCGCACGATGTTGGCGACATCCTGAATCTTGGCGCGTGGTGTGTCACGGCGCAGTGCGAAGTTCCGGGACCTGATGTCGCGAAAACGCTCCACCAGCGCGTCCTTCTCCTCATCGGTGAGGGCATTGTACTCATCGATGTGATCCATGTGTAGCTGTGGGACATTCTTTGCCAGGCCCTCTGGAAAGCTGTCAGTTGCGTCCCCAATTACACCAGCTATTAGAACTCACGCTCTCTAGCCTCCGCGGCTTTCTCACTCTTAAACGCGTTGTATGGATTGATCTTCTCTTGATGATGCACCATACGCGCACCACCCTGAAAGAATATGTCCAAAAAATATCGTGGCTTCATGTCGTACAGGTCCGCAAGCTCCTGGGCCTTCGCATTAGTATATTCACGTCACTTTGAGACTTCCTCGTCGATTGCGGCTTGTCGGAACTCTCGTTTCTCCTTTTTCTCCTTCAGTTCATCCCGTGTGCGAGGGGCAGACTTTTTGGGAGCGGGCTTGTCAATTCGGATGCGTGTGCTGCTTGCAGCAGAAACCGTGGTGTAGATGGTGGGCATGGTGTGTTCAAAGAAAAAAAACGGCTGCCGGAGAATAACTGTACCTCCGTCCTCGCATACCACAGCTGCCGGAGCATCATTGTACGGAGTTCCTCCGTCCCAAGTCTGTATCAGATTTCAGTCAACGCTTAACTCACAATCTCCTTCAAGGTTTTCTTGAGCTCGATCGACAAAAAGGATGAATTAATTGGAAATAAAACTAGTCTGCCATCACAGCCATTGCGAAGAGCAAATCCGAGATGAGGGAAAGCTCTATGTCCAAATTGCTCAACTCTGTGTGCCATTTAACAGGATGGAAAGAGCGCATCACAGAATCACCGTACCTCTGTCCTCGTGTACCACACGTCCTCGCGTATCACGCGTCCTCGCACTGCCGGACCATCATTGTACGGAGTTTCTCTGTCCTAAATCTGTATCAGGTTTCAGTCAACGCTTAACTCACAATCTCCTTCAAGATTTTCTTGAGCTTGATCGACGAAAATGATGAATTAATTGGAAATAAAACTAGTCTGCCATTGCAGCCATTGCGAAGAGCAAATCCGAGATGAGGTCAAGCTCTATGTCCAAATTGATCAACTCTGCATGCCATTTAACAGGATGGAAAGAGCGCATCACCAACTTGATGGCGCTGGCATTGGCAGTAAGTCCGTGGGAGGTGATGAAGGTATCCAGGTCTAGTTGATCGTTACCATGGCGTGAAGTGGGGCCGTGAGAGGGTGAGGGCGAATATGGAGGTGGTCGACGCAACGTGGATGGGGCGGTACGAGCTGAAACTGGAGTGCGAGACGATCCTGCTTGGCTGCGAGACGGAGTTGCAGTGTGTGTGCGAGCTGAGGCGGCACCGGGAGCTTGAGACCGAGTGGGAGTAGAAGGTGGGGCTGTAAAAGTGTATAGTAAGAAGCGAAGATCTAAATTAGATGTAACTTACGGCGACTGCCAGTGCCAAGAGCCTGGCGGAGGGACCTGTTAGCTTCGAGCGTGCTGTCCAGATGCCCCTGTAGGTCGGCTTTGGCGTCCTCGAGAGCTGCGATGCGGGAGAAAAGAATGGTCTCCTGCTCTTCCAACTCCTGAATTCGTCGATGGGCCTCATCAAAATCGTCGTCTGGGATCACAACGACAGGGGTAGGCGCTAGAAGAGTGTCGAGAACACTGACTGCGCGTCCGTGGAACTTGTAGTGGGCAGAACCGGGAGCCTGGGGCCGTGGAATAAGGATAGTGGAGTAGGGATTGTGATGAGCGCCGGGCCCATTTGCAGTCAGAGACCAGCCACGCTGAAGGGCGCAATTCCTCCACGTCTGCACAGTCGGCACGCCCACAGACTCTATAAAAAGCTGCGCAATCTGAGCAATCGCCCATGGCTAGCAGGATTCGCTGCAACGAAAGAGGGCGGGAGGTAGACGGAAGAGCGTAAGAACTGGGGCTGGGGAGGTGTGTTCGGAACAGTCGTGCCCTCAACGTGCAGGATCATTGTTGTACCCCAAAGAGGCGATCCCAAGCTGTCGCCTATTATTAAATTGAGTCTTTAGAGCGCACAAAGGAGCACAAGACACACCAAATCAAATGTAAGGTTTTGGATCCGCTCATTCAGACCCTTCCTTGCATCACTTCCCGCAGTACCGGGGGGTAGCGAATCTCGTAGCGCCTCAAACTCAGGAAAAAAAGTATCGGTGTTCCGCAGGTGACTTCCATCCTTATGAAGGTCCGCCGCAAACCATGCGAGGTCGGAAGCCAGCCAGCGGGTCCGATAGCGCTGGAAAACCCCAGGAGTCCTCGGAATGCCCTGATTACGACGGAGGTCAAAAAGCCCAATGGGTGTGAACTGCAGTTGACTCCAGGATTGAGGGGTGCTGGTAAGCATGTAGCCATCGCGAAGTGGAGGGGGCTGAATATTGACTCCTGGCATGCCCCAATCGACAACGAAGACCATAGTGAAAGTGTGGATGTGGTTCGAGACAAGAGAAAATGTGTACTCACAGCCACTGATGAGCGCTCGATGGATTAGCGCTAATCTTGGTCTAAATTGGGAATTGGGGCCGTAATTCAGAAAATGGCTACACTAGAGGCTTCTAGTGTCTCTCTTGAATAAAACGTTGGCTAAATGCATGACAAAAACTAGGGTTTAATGATTGAACAAAAATGGACTGTACTCAATTTTTTACCGTTGAGATTCCAATGAAATGGCCTCCGCAGGAGAAAGATTGTATTCTACGACAGAAACAT